GAGCCTTGTGGCTGATTTGAGTGAAAACACCAGGCAGCCCTTTGCATGGCATTGAAGACCTGCCTTGCCTCTCCCTGTAAGAACAGGGAAGGGGGAGGGTCTGAAGGGATTGTGGGAACCACCACTTCCCTCAGTGGGTGGCAGCAGGGGCCATCTCCTTCTCTCCTCAAGGGCACCTACCCTGTGCCAAAATCCAAGGAAATGCATGGGTTTCAAGTCCTTCCAGCACCTCTCAGGCTTGTGGACTAAGAAGGAGGCAGCCATTCAATGTGAGGGGCCCCATCTCTGCCTGCATAAGACTCTGGATTCCAAATCCCAGCTGGAGAGGGCACACTGTTGCCAGACACCCAGAGGACTGCATAGACTTGTCCCACCTTGCAGGAGGCACATTTCCATGCAAGGAGGCAGCACTGACACAGTGAGCATCTATCACATGGATGCTGGGCTCCCGTCCACATGGGTCAGCCTAGGAAACCTGGTCAGTATGGGCCTCGCTTCAAAGAGGTTGCCTGTAAGCTGGAGGGCACCTAGGATGCTATGGGATCTTGAAACCAGTTCATTAAAAGAGGCAGACTACTTAGCCTGGAGAAGCACAGACTCCTGGGGGACCAGATCACACTCTTCAAAGGGAAGAGGCCAACATCAGAAGGAAAGTGAAAGAGGGCAAAAGGTTATTCATATATGTATATGTGGAGTAGCCATAGGCTTATGGATTCTTAGAGCCGAATGGACGTCCAAGGCCAACCCCCACAGCATGCGTGATAAAGGGAAGTTTGTGGCATATATGCATATATTGTGGCATATATATGGTTTTGGTGAATCTATGTAGTTACTCACATATTCATCTACACACACAACTCCAGCTTAAAGCAGATCACTCTCAGCAGCAGGTGCCTGTAGACAAGTCCCATCAGAGGGAAAAAGCTTAACCCATGGCCCACAGACCTAGCTTTGAGCACAGTCCATCTTGCCATTCACAGAACCTGCAGGCTTTGCTGGCTGGTGTGCCAGGCAGCATGCCGGATGGCTGAGTGTGCCAGTATCCCCAGCACTGGGGGCTTGCCAGGGCTGCACGGAGGAGCCTGGGGGCACAGAGAGGGTGGGCTCAGTGGGAGGTGGTCATTTCTATCTGTTGTGGCCACCGAGCCATGGGACAGGGCACTTCTGGTGGTAGTAAGCGTCCTGTCATGGCAGAGTAAGGTTAAGTCCACCTGCAGTAGATGTTGTCAAGGAGAATCCTGTCCAGGATGGGCTCCTGAGAGACAGCTCTGTGGTCTCTGCCTGTTTGGAATTTCCGCAATACTCTTGTTCCCGGGGCTCTGACAATGGGTGATGTGGAAGCAGTGGGTGTGGGGGGTAGGTGTTCACCAAAACCTCAGTTAATCAGGATAACCTGTCTCTGTCCCATGGAGGCTCAGGAGAACGAGGATGTGTCCTCAGGAGGGCGGTACCCAAATAGGCCATGTGTATTTATTTCTCCTGAAGCATCACCTTTCAGTAGCACGTCTGACAACTTGCAGGGAATTGCCCTTGAGATGGAACCATTAGCCACATGGACGAGGGGCCCCAGGAGGCCCGTTATCCCAAGCCCCCCTGCAGCCAGAGTGTCCTTGGGACTCTAAGATCCCAGACTTCAGGCGGTGGCTCATGGAGCTTTGAGCAGTGTTTGATTTAAAAGATGGAAGAAGCAGTGGTCGTGGTCCCTCAGGCAAGAATGCAGACATGAAGGCCAGGTACCTTCCACCATGAATTTGCAGACAACATTATAGGTGCAACAGGAAGAGGCAAGGAATTCAGAGCCTGTCAAGTGTTTGCTCTCACTGGGTTTCGTCAGGCCTCTTACCAGGAGCTGATGCTACTCATGAACTCACTTGCTGGTTGTCTGGTCCACATTCCCTGGATTCCTCGAAGAATGCAAGCTTTATGAGGACTGTAAGATCTCTCAAACCAGGACAGTATCTGCTACACAGTAGGTGCCCAATAAATGTTGGCAGTGACACAGAGAACACCAGTGTTATGATCGTGAGGGCGATGGTGAGTGAGGGAGCTGGGGCTGGGCCCTCTGGGCTCAGCTACGACACCATCCACCTGTTCATCAGCTCTCAACACTCTCCCACCACCCCTAGTGAGAAGGATGCCAAGAGGGCTCAGATGCTAGCAGAGAGCCACGTCCAAGCCCGATGAGGGTGAAAAAAGGCAGATGGGCTCCATGGCTGCCAGTCCCTCCCTCTCCTCACTGTATCCACAAGGACAGCCAATGAATGGCTTGGGTGCCCTGGCTGCAAGAACCTATGTGGAACCCACCACATTTGCCCCAAAATTGGAGTTCAAGATTCTAGAATCAAAGTGAGTCAGTTATGGGCCAATTCACATATAGTGTCACCAAGGAACAGTTTAGCCACAAAGATATGCAGCTTCTGTGCACGCCAACAGGGGTGTGAAAATGTCTGTGTGGCGGCCTGCATTGTGTGCGAACATGGGTATACGCATTAAGCGTGTGCACCCTTGCAAAGGGGGGTGGGGGTGCACACGTGTGCATGTCTGTGCATATGGGACCGTCTCATGCGATGGTGTGAGGAGTGTGCGAGTGTGGAGCTGTGTTTGTGTGTGAATGCTTGGCTGCAGAATCTGAATTTCCTCTAGTACTATTTTCCTGGTTCACACCCAATCTTGATCCCTTTCTTTTCCTTTCTTCTCGGAAATCCATTACTGAAAGGTTTTTTACCCGCCTCCAGGGGGAGGGGGGCTGGGGGAAGGGGAAGCTAAAAATCACAAGGCCCAGATCAAAACACTCAGCCGCTAAATGAATTCGGCAGCGTTTTCCCGCATGACTTGGAGGGATAATTTAGTGAGGCCGCCAGCTGGAAGGAAAGGGATTAATTCTGCACTTAGCACAGCTCTGGTGAATAATTCATCAATGAGACCTTTGTGCCTAGCCCTTGGGCAACTGGGGAAGGGTCCGGTCCACCTGCCTGTTGCCTGCCTGGGTCCCGCAATGGCCTGACCAGGGGCACTTGATGCTCCTTTCGGTCCTCAGGACACATGTACCCCAGTGAAGGGTTGGGAGGCGGGGGCAGGTGAGGAAGGGATGGGCAGTGGCCACCGGCAGACTCAAGACCCCGGCAAAAGGCAGTGGGGGGTTGAGCTCCAATCTGAGAAATCTGTGACTTTTTCTCTAAGGACCCTGATTCTTTCTTGGGGTCTTTTGCTGCTTCTATGTCCTCCCCTCCCAATACCTTCTTGGTCCTACACCCGATGTAGGGATGGAGGTGGGGGTGGGAGCAGGGGTGTGTGACGGGCTGTATCTGACAAACTCTCTTTCACCAGGAATTAGAGGAATCAGGAATTAGAAGACAATGCCGAACATTCCAGAGGGGAAGTGCTAATGGGAAGTCCCGGGTACCTACCAGAGGCCTTGTAGGGACACATTTTTCCAGTGGCTACGTTCCCAGATATGTGCCTCTTACCCTACACCAGGCAATTAATTCCCTGTGTGCTCCATGGGTGAGGTTACAGGGCAAGTATTACCCCAGCGCTAGTGGCTATTTTTCCTGGTGTGGGAAGCTGGCAGGAGGGGGCTGACCCAGAGGTTGGCCCCTGGTCACTAGTTCCCGGGCTCATGGTCCTGACCTGTCCACATCCCCGCTTTGTGTCTGTCTTAGCATCCCAGACTAAAAAGTGGCAGAGGGTGCCTGCCAGGAGCCAAATGACCAGGGTCCAGCCGGGACTCAGAGTCCAGGGAGCGCTGGCTGGAGGAAGAGATCCCATCCACCAGGCGGGGCTCAGCCGGTAGTAGCTTTCCACTTGGATCAACCCAGCTGTGGTAGGCAGGATTCCAAAAACGGGCCCCCAAGATTTCACACCCTAATCCCCAGCACCCATGCCTATGGGGAGCTATGACCCCGGGGATCACGTCACGTGGCACAATTGACCTTGAGATGGGTACATTATCAGAGTGGGCCTCCCCCATCACATCAGCTCCTCTAAAAGCAGAGGGTTTTCTCTGGCTGCTGACAAAGGAGAAAGCCAGGGAGTTTTGAGGTATGTATGGGGGGGATTTGACATCCCTGCTGGCTGAAATGTGGAGGGGGGCCCTGGGAGAAGGAATGTAGGCAGGCTGCAGCAGCCGAGAGGCCCCCCCGGCTGACAGCCAGCGAGGAAACAGAGATGTTGGGAGCCTTGGAAGCACACTCTTTCCCAGAGCCTCCAGAAAGGAATGAGACCTTGCCAACATCTTGACTTGAGTCGTGCCCTGTCGGATTGCCTACCTATACAAGTGTGAGCCCATAAGTGGGTGCTGTTTTAAGCCGCTAGGTTTGTAGCAGTTTGTTACACAGCCATGGAAGCTGACATCCTAGTTGTAGGTTTGTAGGACCTGAACAAATCCTAGTTGTAGGACTTGTAGAACTTTGATCCCAGTGAGGCAGCCTTGCCTTGGGCTGAGTTACAGGCCGACTCCCAGGCCTGGGTGGCCTCTTCTCTCAACTCTCCTCTTCCTTTTTATTTTATTTTATTTTATTTTATTTTATTTTATTTTATTTTATTTTATTTTATTTTATTTTTTAATAAATTGTTTAAATTATTTTTTTCTTTTTAATTTTTATTTATTTATGATAGTCACACGAGAGAGAGAGAGAGAGAGAGAGAGAGAGAGAGAAGCAGAGACACAGGCAGAGGGAGAAGCAGGCTCCATGCACCGGGAGCCCGATGTGGGATTCGATCCTGGGTCTCCAGGATCGCGCCCTGGGCCAAAGGCAGGCGCCAAACTGCTGCACCACCCAGGGATCCCAACTCTCCTCTTCCTAATCTCAGTTTACTATCTCACTTTCTGGAGCCTTAAATCACCCTCAGACATTTCTAGCCAAAGCAGTGGTCCCCTCCTCCTCAAAGCCTCTGGCCCCAGCCCCTGGACAAGGCCAGCAATTGTGCAGGGGGTTGGAACCCACCACGGGGCTACAGGAGCTGGCGCTCGGCTGCCCTCCACATCCCCGCAGCCTTACCTCAGAGGAAAGCAGCTGGAAGGAGATATCCACTGTGGGGGCCTCACCATTTATGGTTTTCAGCTTGGTGTCCTGGGGAGGAGAGCGGAGCAGTCAGTCCATGCTGGCCAGGGCAGCTTCTGCCTCTGATCTGCCCGTTGCTCCGGATTTCTCAAGAAGGGGCCTGCTGGGGGCTCTGCCTGGGTAATGAGAGGGAGGCAGGAGCCGGTCCCCTGCCTCTGCTCACCCTCACTGCCTCAAACTTCCCTTCCCGGCTCCACTGAAGACCTGACTGGCACTTCCAGACCTGCATCCTGGCACAGGGGCAAAAGTCCCATTTACTGAGGTCTATTATGTTCAGGAAGGCCAGAAGCATTCTAGGGGAAAAGGTGGCATAGAAATAAACCATGATGATTAATTCTTATTGAGAACTTATTCTAAGCACTTTACACATATTTCCTCAAAAAAAAAAAAAAACTCACTGCAACCCTATGAGAAAAATTCTATTACTATGAATCCATTTTACAGACAAGGAACTTGAGCCACCAGGACTTTAATTTTTCCTGCAGTCATATAATCTAATGAGAGGTGGAACCAGAATTTGGACCCAGACAGTCAGGCTCTAGAGCCTGGGCTCTTGGCTCTCTCATCCTACAGAGAGATCCTATAAAGGCATGTTGTCCCATTTTATTTTATTTTTTTTAAATTTTTATTTATTTATGATAGTCACACAGAGAGAGAGAGAGAGAGGCAGAGACACAGGCAGAGGGAGAAGCAGGCTCCATGCACCGGGAGCCTGACGTGGGATTCGATCCCGGGTCTCCAGGATCGCGCCCTGGGCCAAAGGCAGGCGCCAAACCGCTGGGCCACCCAGGGATCCCCTGTTGATCCCATTTTAAAAGTGGGCACTCTGAGGTTCAGAAAGTCTAAGAAACTTGCCCCAGGTTGCACAGTGAGACCTAAGGCAAGTCAGGATTTAAACCCAGGCCTGTACTCTTGCCACCGTCCGGTGGGGCCTCCCTGTGCTTCTCTTCCTGTTGCTGGGCAGGAGCTTGGGGAACTCCTTACACTCGAAAGTGGTCGGCTTCCGTGGTAGGGGCCCCGGTGGAAGCTGCCGGAGAAGCTAGATTCACTGGTGTTAGTGGGGCAAGGTGGAACAGGGTGGGGTGGGGCGGGAGCAGGCGCCGGCATGGGCTCTGTTGGGGGCACTCACAGTGATGGGGAGCCTCTCCACACGAAGCCCATTCAGACCTTTCCCTGCCAGCATCTTGCGGTACAAACGTCTCTTCAGTGGCAACACGGAGACGCCCAGGGGCTTGCTGAGGGTCCAGGGCTCACCGCCTTTCACTGTGGGGAGGACCAGCTGGGACTCCGACCAGAACCCCAGCCCAGGCCCCCGGGCCCCGTGTTGGAGGCTCCAGCAGGCGCTGGATCCTCTGGTTCCTAACATCCCGTTCCCCCTCGCCTCATTTCCCTGACTCCTGGCCTTGCCTGCCCAAGTAGCCTCCTCCTCTGCTCTTAGGGCTCCCTGAATTCAAGGCCAGCTCTCCATATTTGGTGTTTCTAGGTTGTACGTGGATCTCCCCTGTCTCTGCCCTCAGGGGCCTTACTCTCTCCGTGGTGGAACGCCTGCCTGGCTCCCTTGTCCTTTAGCATGGGCAGGACACACGGGTCCTATTCCCGTATTAGATCCGTGCATTTTTATCACACGACTACCCCCTCCCCATGTGCCTGTCAGTGAGGACGGAGTGATAGATCCCTCAGGGCTCACAGCTTGGAGGGGAAACTGGCGCCCGGCAGGCGTTCCTCCACCTGTCTGCACACACTGGGGCGTCCCTGCAGGGGGCGGAGGCAGGTGGTCTGAGCACCCCCTGGTCCTCAGGTCCTGATGCACAGCTACCCCGGCACCAAGGGGCACTCACTGGAAGTCGAGGAGTAGTATTCCAGCACCAGGGCTGTGTCTTCTGAGAAGTTGGTGGCTCCATCTCGACCTTGGAAGAGGAAGGACTGATTCCACGAGGGCAGCTCAGGGGTTCCCCCAGGCTTGGACAGCTAAAAGGAGACAGTGGGAGTCGGTGGCAGGGCCATGGGTTCTCCCAAATGGAGGGATGTCCAGATATAGCCATACGTGTGTGTCTACACACATCACAAACGTTTGTCCCAATTATAAAAGCAACAGACGTGTAATGAATGAATTTTGGAAAATATGGAGAAGTAGAAGGATTAAAAAGAAAAACCCCAGGGGTGCCTGGGTGGCTGAGCCAGTAAATCGTCTGGTTGTTGATCTCAATTCAGATCTTGGTCTCAGAGTCACAAGTTCAAGCCCTAAGTTGGGCTCTGCACTGAGTGTGGGGCCTACTTAAAACAAAAACAAAAACCCTCCCCCCAAACACTGTAGATTCCTACACTAAAGACAACCGTCCTAAGGCTGTGTGTGTGTGTGTGTGTTTTTTAAGATTTTTATTTATTTATTCATGAGACCCACAGAGAGAGGCAAAGACGTAGGCAGAGGGAGAAGCAGGCTCCATGCAGGGAACCTGACATGGGACTCGATCCCAGGACCCCGGAGTCACGACCTGAGCCAAAAGCAGACACTCAACCACTGAGCCACCCAAGTGCCCCAGGCTGTGTGTTTCTTTCTAGTTTTTTCCTAAGCCTATTTTGTACTTAATTGTCATCCTAACATCCTATGCTTTTCATTTACTGTGAAAATCTAAGCATATCCAGAGTCATAAATAATACTTGGCATCCATGATCTCAGTAGCCAGAGGATATTTTGTCACATCCAGGTGCCCTGGTTTCCCCCTTCCCACGTGGCCCTACAGTAACACTGCATTGCATATTCTTTGACATGTATTTCTGTGTCTCAAATCATTTCCTGCGTACCCAAAATGGGAATGCTGAGTTCAAAGATGTACATTTTAAGGCACTTGACTGCTCATGGGTAAACTTTTCCTAAAGAGTTGTGCCCACTCACACCCATGGCTGGTGGTGTCATAGACGCCAAAGTAGACATGAACTCCACCCTTGGCCCCAGCCCCCCTCTGCCCCACATGGGTTGCAGAGGCTCTTCAGATGCCTGAGCCTTGGTGCATCGGCAACGCAGGCCATCGGAATTTGGGGGATTTGATAGCACACCAGGCCCCAGCTCGGGCATGCGCGTGAGTCATATTTACACAGTGAAACAAGATGGCATTGACTAGAGCCCCCGAATAAGGGGGCTACATGGGACATTCCCGACGGTGGTCACAGAAGCTGTCTTGCAGGAAGCAGGACCAGGGGATGGCTCTGAAGCAAGACGTGGGAGGGCAAAGGGAAGGAGGGAGGTCTGGCTGGGAAAACAGAGGTGGTGGTGGTTCCAAGCAGGGCAGGGCTGGAGGATGCCTGGAATAAGGCGGGACTCCAGGGGGAGGAGGCCTCTGCAAAGGCTGGAAGGTGGGACAGGGGGAATGGAACACAGCAGGCCGCCCTGCATGGTCCCCACACAGGGAGGGGCTGGGGTCGTTGGTGCAGACTCCCCCTGAGGCTGCCTTGCCTCATCCCCAGCCAGGGGCTGTCAGTGACAGTGGCGGCTGCTCCCACCTCCTGCTCCCCTGCGGGAACCCGTCATTGCTCAGAAAGGTCAGCACAAATGCACCACTGGCTTGGAGAGTTATTGATGCAGGATCTTGAAATATCAGTGTGGGTCCACCCGCCCCCGCCCCCGCCGCGGTGGCAGGCCCTCCTGCCTGTCACACTAATGTGTCCGCTCTGGTTCTCTGAGGCCCAGCCTGAGGCTCAGCTGTGTCTGCCTAGGCCCCTGCCCCTGGGGACATGGGCTGCAGTCACTTTGGGGCTAGGGGTCCTGAACACAGGGACCGTGACTGGGGTGATGGACTGTTCCTGAGAATGGGCTCTGGAGGGAGCTCAGGGACAACCACGCGGCCACCAGGCCAGGCTAAAGAAGCTGCTTCCAGGTTCTGTGGGGCTTGGGAATGGTCTTTCAGGACTGATCCCCAAACCATGCCCATCCCAGAGCTGCCCCATTCTCTTGGGAGCCTCAGGGGCCTCCCCGTAGCCCGGACCATCTGCCAGGCCCTGGGGCACTCAGTCCTCTTCTGCCCCCATCCCTTGCTCCCACCCTGGAAGGGGAACATTTAATGGCTGCTGGCTGTCCTCTCTGGGGCCTGTTAATGTGTCCAAATGGAGTCGACTAAGCAAGAAATAGTGTCTGACTGCTCAGTAAGGACAGGTCTTTCCCTGAATGGGTTCCCAGGAGGAGTCCTCCAAGAGAGATCCCTTCGGACCTCCACCTGGGGAGAGAGGGGCAGCTTCTCTTGTGTGTGCAGGGAGGGAGGGAGGGGGAGCGGCAAGGACTCCAGATTAAGCCTCCTTCGCAATCTGATGCCAGGGCCCCGGGGAAGGTGTTGGTGGCATGTGTGTGTGGCGGGGTGGGGGCAGAGTGTGCAGCAGGGAAGCCACTGACCACAGACAGTAATGGGCAAGGCCATGGCGGGCTGTAGAATTAAGGAATGTGATTAACCCTCAGCTGTGATCTTCAGCAAAGCCATTAACCCCTGGCCACTGAGGCAGACCTGCCTTCCCTGGGGACAGAGCCTTCATTACAAGGGCCCGTAGGGCCTCCTCGCATTTCCCCTGGGCCCCCGCATCCACACCCACACCTACCACAACCGGCTCTGCGCATCCTGGGGAGAGGCTGAGGCTGGGGGACCTTGAGGGAGCTAGGACACCCTGGCTCTGGACGCCTGCTTGGCCACCAAGATGAAAGTTCAGCTGAACTCAGCGAGGCGCCTGGGGGCGTCTCCATGCTGTACACCTTAGGAGTGCTGCGGGGCATCTCGGGGAGCTAGAGTCAGACCCTGTCCCCTCTGGAGCTCACCATCTTCCCAGGTGATGGGACACACACACACTCTCCTATGATCCATGCAGAGGTCTAAGCAAGTATGGGTGGTGGGAGCTGGGATGTTGGAGAAAGCAAGGACTCCTGGCTGGGGGATCCGAGGGAGGGGGCCATTCTAGGCTGGGTGCAGCGAGACCGGAGAGGACAGCATGTATGTGGACACCTGGGCACCCAGTGTGCCTGCCGGAAGCCTGTGGGGCTGGGCCGGTAGGCCTGGGAGCCGTGACTGCCCGCCAGGGCTGCGTCCTGTCAGCCAGGGGTCCAAGGGAAGGGCCTGAGCGGAGGCCACTCCTGTGGTCCATGCGAGAGACGAGGCCCTCGACAGGGGCCCCATGAGAGCCTGGGTGCCCACGGGCGTCGGAGCTGAATTAGGGGAGGACGGTGGGCAACTTCTTTCTCCTCTGCTTCCTCCCCATCGGCCAGGAACTCTGCCTCAGCTCTGCAGGGAGGGCAGGCCAACGGGGGCAGCCTGTCGGGCAATGGCCCCCCCAAAGGTGCAGGGTGCAGAGGGGGAGGAATTGCTGAGTCCTGCCCCATTTCGGGCCCTGCGGCCCAACCGTCCCTTCACTGACCGTCGTGCCTTCATCACCAGGCTCCCAGGGGCATGAAGCCGACCCAAAGGGCCGCTCCCCTCCGTCCCAGGTGACCTGCTTCGTCTGGTGGCCCACCCCTTCCGCACACCTGTCACTTACAGACCCCTCGGTGATGCCACGCCCCCGTAATTGGCTGAGAGGAGCGCACGTGACCCAATTCGGGCCCATGAGACAAGAGGAGAGCATCTGGGGGCCTTCAGGAAAGCCGCAGGTGCAGGTGCAGGTGTGGAGGGGAGGGGCTCCCTCGCGGGTCCTGGCCCTGCCTGGATGGGGTGCCCCGACATTTTGCTTCCGGGAGCTGTTAGCCAGTTGCCGGTGGCAATTTGGGGGTGTCGGGAGCAGGTCCTGGGGACACCGCTGACATGGTGCATCCACCAATTCCGGCAGCTGCCTGCCTAGGGCCCCGTGCCCAGCGTGACAGCAAACCTCGTGGGGCCTGGTCCCTGAGGTGTCTGTTACTTGTGGTCTCAGGGGGCATCTAACACTGGGGGAGGAGCAGCTCCTACAGGGGAGGAGCCCCTAAGCCCCTGCCCCCACCCCCCACGCTGTGGGCACCTGAGCCCTTTAGAGCGCACCTGACAGCCCAGTAAGGGTAGGACTCTGAGACTGGAGGGACCAAAGGCCATGCAGCTCGCAAGTCAAGAGCAGGGGGCAAAACCCAGGGGCGCCAGGCCCTCAAATTGCTGCTGCAGGGCTCAGGCATGTGGGCAGGGTGGGGAGGAGGTCACAGCAGCTCAAGGTGTCAGGGGGCAGGTGGCCCCGGACACTACCTGGCCCAGCCACCGCCCCTCAAGTCAGGTGAGGCAATGGAGGCGCAGGAAGGGAAGTGGAAGGGCAGTGTGAAAGCTGCTGGCTGACACCCACCCCCACCTACCCCCCGCCAGCAAGCCTGCCCCATCCTCGCCGCCCCGCACCTCTGTGAGTTCTCAACCTGCCCGAATGCCATGTGGTCTCATGAACTTCGACAAGTGTCCTGGCGTCCCAGGGCCCCTGGCCTCCATCCCCCACATGCAGGAGGCCCTGGAGGCAGGTCTCCGGAGCTAGGGGCCCCTCCGCTACACAGACTGGTGGGGCAGCAAAGGCAGCCGGAGAGGGCCCGGGGTGGGGAGGGGGCTCCCTCTTTACAGCAGCCAGGCCTCCTGCCCCTCGGGATTGCCTGCTGATTGGTTCATAATTTTCTGGGCAAATGCAGGGCCATGTGTGAGAGGACTCTGGGGAAATCAGGCCGAGGATTGGTTTGGGTTTGAAGCCTCTATCCCCGGGGTCCCCCTTCGTCCTACCCCTCCCTGCCACCATCATTCTTGTCCATATTTGAGCCTTCAAATGTCCTTGCCTTTAAATGAAGGGGGCTCCAAAGGGGTGCCTCTTTCTGTATTTGCCATGCCAGACATGAAGAGTGGTGGGCAGACAACAGGAAGGACTTCCCAGGCACCCCTGTCTTCTTTAAGGCTTCTAGGAATGTGGGGACCATCATGTGGGGCAAACTCCAGCTGAAGTAGAGACTATGGGAAGAGACGGACCCGGCCATTCCCTGGTACCCAGCCGCAGTCTGCACACCCCTCCCCCACGTATTCAGACACACCACTCACTGTCCCCTCCAGCCCTGAACGTGCATCTATCTTGTCCTGTGCACCCCAGCTCCACTCCCGTGCTCTCGTTCCCTATCGCCCTGCACAATCCCTCCCCTATTAAACACTCAAGAGTCTTGTGTCTGGATACCCACTCCAATCAGCCAGGCTTCACGTCCCTCTTGCCTCGAATTAAAATTTATTTTTTATTGTGGCAAAATGCAGACAACATAAACTGTTCCATTTTAGCCATCTTTAGGTGCACAATTCAGTGGCATTAAGTAAATTCACATTGTTGTCTAACCATCACCACTATCAATTTCTAGAACATTCTCACCAGCCCAAACAGGAAACTCTGTACCTATGAAACAATAACACTCCCCCTCCCCCCCAGTCCCTGGCGAGCACCCTTCTACCTCCTGTCTCTGCGAATGTGTGTACTCTAGGGACCTCCAATCAGCGGTTTCAGACACCATTTGTCCTTCTCTCCTGTGCCTTTTACAGGCCTGACAGTCCCTCCTGGTTTGTTACTAGGTCACACACTACCTGTGTGGGTGTGTGACCCTTTGATGTGCAGGAGGCACACTTCCTGGGGGGGGCCGTACCTGAGGGCACCCGTTCTGGCTGCCCCGAGGAACGTCGAAGCGCATCACCGATGGGTTAGGGAAGGAGAGGCGGGTGATGGGCAGCCCCACGGAAGCTGCGTCCTGCTTTATCTGGTTGACCCTGGGGAGGCAAGGAGACGGTCAGTCCACAAGTGCCGCGGGTGGCTCAGGCCTGCAGGAGGGCGCAGGGCTCTGGACACCAGGACAGGTGATGGACCCTGGTCCTTCTGATCACCGGCCCAAGGTGTGGGAGAACTCTCTGGGTCTGGAGATGAGCCGTAGCTCCCAGGTTCTCCCCATGACTTGCTGTGGCCTGGCCACATCTGACTGCCCCAGCGGCCCCATCTTTAAAAAGCCCTGCCATTGGAAGTCCTTGCCGGAATGACCCACCCTGGTGGTGGCAGTTCTAGTTTAGGTCAAGGGGGACGTGGAGGCTGCAGGGGCAGGGTCCAGGGTGTGTGTGTGTGAGCGAGTGAGCAAGCGTGTGGCTATGTGCCTAGCTTTTTTATTTATTTATTTTATTCATTCATTCATTTATTTATTTATTTATTTATTTATTTATTTATTTATTTATGATAGTCACAGAGAGAGAGAGAGAGAGAGAGAGGCAGAGACACAGGCAGAGGGAGAAGCAGGCTCCATGCACCGGGAGCCCGACGTGGGATTCGATCCCGGGCCTCCAGGATCGCGCCCTGGGCCAAAGGCAGGCGCCAAACCGCTGCGTCGCCCAGGGATCCCCATGTGCCTAGCTCTTAAGAGGGCTGGGAGGGAGTGTATCAGCTTCATTCCTTCAATAAGCAAGGAGTGTTCCCAGGTCAACAGATGGTGTGGCGCAGTCCTGTTGGGCCAGAAGAGTCAGAGGAAGTGACAGAGGCAGACAGCTGATCCCCAGGAAATGGAGCTGTCACACAGGGCCCATGTGCACTGGAGGACTCCCCACGCTGTGTGACCCTCAGGGGCCACGCTAGCCCAAATACCCTTCCTGAGGACGGCAAATCCACCAAACCCCCAAAGGTGGTCTGGGGAGGAGGGGCACAAGTTTGGCTGGGGCCAGGAGACCTCAGGAGGGTGAGGGAGAGGACTCACAGGCGGGGCTAAAGGTCATGAAGTTCTGAGCAGACCCACAGGCTGCCTTCTTTGGGAAAAACCACTGGTTGGAGCCTTGGTCCTGCGCTGGAGTAGGAGGGGGGACTGTGGGACGGAGCAGGTGTGGAGGGCTGAGGACATCTGCAGGGAGTTCTGAGCTGCCCCTTTCCAGGCAGGGACTGTGGGCAACTTCCTGAACCTCAGACCCCAGTGGGAGGTTTGAAAGGCCTTGGGGAGGGGAGGGTTCTAGGGCTCCTGGAATCAGGGCCTGTGGTGGCAGCGACAGCCCTTCCCCTCCTCTGTCTTCTGCCCTGCCCGCCCTCTCCTTGCCCACACCCGCCTGGGCCCCACTCACTTAAAATCATTGTAGTTGGGAACCACCCTGGCAATGACCACCATGGGGTCACAGTTGTTGACCAGGGGCTCATTGACTCCCCGGAGAAAGACCTGGGGAAGAGAGGAGGCAGGTGAGCCTTGGGTGGCTTTGAGCCCTCTCGGAGACAAGGCCAACCCACCTGCCACTTTTCTCCCCAGTAATGAGCTCATCCCTGCCTCCATCTGCCTCACTTACTTCTTTCTCGGCTCAAAGCTGCCCTCCTTCAGGCCCTGACTAGGCCTTGGGAAGGCGGGGGGAGGACACGGATTCTGCCCCATATACCTCCACTGCCCTCCCGAGCGACTCCTGATCTGGCTCCTGGCCCTCACCCCTTACCCACCAAATGGGCTCCCACTCGCCCCTCAGCGCTCACCCCAACCCCCCAACTGTGAGTCCTGTGGCTCCTCTTACTTCTGACCCCATCACTGGCCTCTGCTTCTATTTTGCCCCCCAACCCATCCCCTTTCCCCAGCAATTTAATACATGATGGCAAAAACTGCTTTCGTGAAAAATGAATTAGACCATGTTATTCCCCAGCTTGAGACCAGCAGTGACTCCTCCCACTGCCCTTGGAATGAATTCCGCAATTGTTACCATCAGGGTCAAGGCCTGCATATGTCGGCCTGTCTGCCCTCGGCCCCCAGGTCCTCCCTTGCTCCAGCCTCACACGTCTCACCCCCTCCAACCTGCTCACTTGCTTCTGCCTCAGGGTCTCCGCACATGATGATCCCACTGCCTAGACTCCCCCCCCCCCCCCAGCAACTCAGTGGCTGGCTCTCTCTTCCCTTAGGGTTAACCGTCACCACCTTTGAGAAGCCTTCTGTGACCACTCCGACCAAAAAAGCCCACCCCCTTCTCTTAGCCACCCACCCCCCACCACCTCTTCCTCGGCACTCCTCATAGCCTGTGTTCACTCTAATTTCTCTCTTTTCGTGTTCTGTCCATCTGGCTGGAACCAAGTCTCCAGAGGGGCAGAGACCATGTCTACCTCATTCACTGCTATATCCCCAGCTGTTAGCACACACACCTGGCACAGAGTAAGAGCTCGGTGTGTGTTTCCGGGATAAATGAGCTCCATTTATGAAGGAGAAAAGTAGGGGACCGGGGAGGGAGAGGCTGTGTTTGAGTGTGAGAGAGACAGAAGCCCTGACAGCTGGGAGAGGAGGAGGAGAAGCCAGGCCTCAGGGAGGGGCTGGGCTTGAGCTGCTCTTGAGGGATGGGTGAGGGTCCTGATTACGGGGTGCTCTTGGGAAGGCAAGCAGCGAAGGAAGGGGCTGCGAACACAGCTGAGGGGCCACTCACGAAAAGCTGGGCCACTGTGTTACCGAGGCTGGTCCCCGCTCCACTCTGGGCCTGAGGATCCCAGCTCAGACCCTGAGGGGTGGGACGTTACTGTGCTGGTCCTCCTCGCTCTGACCTTCATGGGGAAGAGGGCACCTGGGACTAGGGGCTTGCTCTGGCTCCTCTCTCCTCCTCCCTGCGCACTCCCTTCTAGGCCCCTCTGCCAGGACCATCTTAGCTGGTAGCTCACAACTCCCCACACGTGTGAGCTGATCAGGCCTTGAAAGAGTGCTTAGGAAAGGGCACCTGGGTGGCTCAGTCGTTGAGCGTCTTCCTTCGGCTCAGGGCATGATCCCGGGGTCCTGGAATCCAATCCCGCATCGGGCTTCCCCACAGGGAGCCTGCTTCTCCCTCTGCCTGTGTCTTTGCCTCTCTCTGTGTGTCTCTTATGAATAAATAAATTTTTTTTAAGTGCTTAGGGCCTTTCAGGGTTCACTGGGGTCCCTGGAGACTGAATCCCTGACCCAGATTCAAAGGACTGGATCTGATGTGGGTGTTTCAAACTTTGAGTGGGGCCAGGAGTCTGGGCTGGGGGAGTCCACTGCAGGGCTGTTGGGCCCTAGAGCTCACAGGGACTCCAACAGGTGTAGGGGCTGAGAGTAGGTCTCTGAGAGGTGGGTGGTCGTGGCTAATTTACACCTGTTCAGCGCTGAATGGTCAGGTGTGAATGAGATAGCTGCCCAAGCCCACTTGCTCATGAGCCAATAAGTAACAGAAGCAATTTCTCTTCCCACTGTGCTCTCCAGTCTGCCATCAGAACCAGAAGGGGTGACAGCTGTGCTGGGGCCAAGGGATAGGTGGAGCGCTAGAGACTCTATACCAGTAATTCTGGGGGCTGGGGTGGGAGTGGGGTGGATCCTCCGTGGAGACTCCTGCAGGCCAAGGTTCTGCTGGGTCTTAAGCAAATGGCCTTTTCACTGTGGGGTGTGGCCTGGGAACAGCAAGGTCGAGCTGTGGCCACTCTTCCTTGTTTCGTGTGTGTGTGTGTGTGTGTGTGTGTGTGTGTGTGTGTGTGAGAGAGAGAGAGAGAAAGAGAGAGAGAGAGAGAGAGAGAGAGAGAGAGAGAAAGGATTGCTGGCAGGTCTCAGGAAAGGACATAATGTAAAAGGGAGGGAGACTGGAACAGAGGGAACCTGCAGGGCTGACCTGCACTAGCATACAAGGTGGCTGTAGGGTTGTAAGCCCTAGATCAGGAGAAAAAACAAGAAGAGAATATGGGCCAAAGTGGGGGCTTCCCCCCCCACATGAGATTCAGGCAAACAGAAGCCTTTGGGAGTTCCCCCTTTTCCATCCTCCCTTCACAGTGTGTGTGGAGCAGAACAAGAGATGGCAACATTAGGACAGGACTGTGTCCGGAAATGCTGGGAAAGGTTAGGCCTCATTTTCATCTCTATCCCTATCCCTGTCATCCCAAGGCTTGTTCTTCACAAAATATTTTGGTTATTCCTTTTTTTTTTTAAGATTTTATTTACTTATTCATGAGAAACACAGAGACACAGGCAGAGGGAGAAGCAGGCTCCATGCAGGGAGCCCAACGCGGGACTCGATCCTGGGACTCCAGGGTCACGCCCTGGGCCAAAGGCGGGTGCTCAACTACTGAGCCACCCAGGCGTCCCTATTTTGGCTATTCTTGTAAAGCCCTATTGCTTTTTCCCTCCTTGGTTTCTTTCCCAGACACCCCTCTCTGCCTCACAAAGTCAGGCCAATCAGAGGTGGCGAAGGGCAGGGCTTGGAGGCTTCTCAAAGCTTGCCCCTTCCCCCCTCCCCTTCTCCCCCCCACCCCAGGGACCCCAGTCTTGGAACCTCCAGAGCTGTGTGGTTGCTGCCGATGTAGCGGGGGAAGAAGCTGCCCTTCCGAATGACGGTCGCATATAGGTGGGTCTTGGCAGTGGCTTCCTCAGCTTTTCCGGACTGAGCGGCCTGGGGACAGGGTGAGGGAAGAAGACCCACAAGAAGGAGAGTGACTAAGGGGCAGGCCCTGCCATAAATCCAGCCCTCTGCAGACAATCACTTGGCATTGCTCCACCGGGGCTCCAAGCTGATAATTAAAGCTCATGGTCCCCGCGAGCCCTTCCAAGATCAATATAATAAATCTTTCCTTTTCTATTTGAATATTTCATCACCCTCACAAGCACCACTGCCTGACTGCTCTCTTCGTGAAGGTGTGATAACAAGGCCTGTGTTTTGAAGTGGCCAGAGAGCCAGAGGGCCTGGGTGATGATCGCAGAATCACAACTAAAGTGCTGAGTCTTCCAGGTGAGTCACTCACTGATCTCTCTGGGCCTTCCTGTCCCTGCCTGTCCCAGGTACCTCATCCAGGCTTAGGGAAGGGGCTAATGGAAGATAAAGACCCCAAGGCCACGGTGTTGAGGAGGTGCTTGGAAAGAAGAACTGGTGCAGGGCCTGATGGGAAGTGGGGAGGGAAGAAAGGAACAGAACTAACCCAAAGTGAGCACCCACTATGTGTCAGGTACTTTGCTAGGGGCTTGACGCCCATTGTTGCATTTGACTGACCAAATGCATGCTCAGTCTCTCTAGTTTGCCAACGAGAAGCAGAGACCTAGGGGGTTAAGCAGCTTCCTATGGATATATACTTAGGAAGAGGCAGACCCCCGATAGGAGCCCAGGCAATCTTACACCACATTGTTCTTTACTCCAAACCACAGTAGGGGTCTGGAGTGCACGTTGAAGGGAAAGTAGTGCTTCTGTTCATCTCTGGTCCAGTGCCTAGCACACAGTAGGTACTTACTAAGTACTTGAGCACTGAAAGAGTGAGTTCTCCCTTCCACCAATCAGCACTGGGGAGAGAGAGTCAGTGGGGGAGCTGCCCTGGGGAGCTCAGGCCACGGACTAAGGCACCTGCAGCTCCTCGCTCAGGCTCATGCCCAGCTGCCTACTAGAGGGCTGCACTCCAGGGAACACTTGCCCTCCCACATGTCCCAAATTTCCGGGGCCTTCCTCCTGCCAAGGCAGTGCGTGGAGACAGCACAGAAAGAACTGACCTGGGAGACAGTATGACCCGGGCTTACCCTCCACTCTGCTACTCATCTGCACTGTCACCCATGTTGAGAGGATTCCTCTCTCTGGGTCTCTAGCCCTATGTATGCAAAATGTAATTCACCTTGAGGATTAGAGACGGTGTCTAGCTCAGGACCTGGGACATACTAGGTACTCTGTAAGTACTGTATTTCTTTGATTTTTAGATACTTTCCCACTTTTAACATATATGAAATCAGAAAATATCTTTTTTTAAAAAAAGATTTTATTTATTTGTTAGAGAGCGAGAGAGTACATGAATGAGAGCAGGGATGGAGGGAGAAGCAGATGCCCTGCTGAGAAGGGAGCCCAACATGGGGCTCGATCCTAGGACCCTGGGATCATGACCTGAGCCTAAGGCAGACACTTAACCAAATGAGCCACCTAGGCGCCCCTAGAAAAATATGTTTAACTGGTGTATTCATTTAATGTAGAAGATGTTCCATGCTATTGGGCTATTTTACAGAGATGAATTTGGAGAATTCCGAATTCTCATGGAAATCATTCACATCAAAAAAAAAAAAAAAAAAAAAAGGAAATCATTCACGTCTACCTGTCAGGAGCTGGGTTTCTTGAGCCTCATATGGCCCAAGACTTGTCATACTGCAGGATGAGCATGGGAAGCTCTGAAGGAATAGCTGGGGGCATTAAGGTGGTTCCCATCTGTTCTCCCCCTACCTGTCTCAGGGCCCTGACTCACCTTCACCAGCTCAAAGTGGTAGGGGTGGAAGACACGTAGGTACTTGATGGGGATTTGGTAGGACAACAGCTCCTCTTTCTTTTTATTGTCTACCACCTTGAGGATCACATCTTAAAAGAGAAAAAATGAGCACAAGTTCAAAACAGGGCTTAGCTGACCAGCATTGCACTCCCAGTAAAGTGAGCCAGTGGGAGGTGAGAATGTAGCTGAGAGCAGGAAGCAGGGGCCATATTAAGGAACCAACATGCAAGTATACACATGTGGGACACACACACACACACACACACACACAACTTCACAAGCACTGTGTGAGCCCCAGCCCAGAGCAAGTCTCCATGCTAGGTGCTGTTAGGATCCAAAGATGCAACAAAGATATTCCTGTGGTGCAGAAACACCCAGCCCAAAGATGGGCACACACAGCACGGAGCCCCCGTGGCAACAGACACACATGTGCTAGCCCAGAGACACACACACACAAGCAGGCGTAGTACCCCTTCCTCTTACCAGCTCCTCAGGCAGGGAGCGGAGGGCTTATCTCCCACATGTTGCAAATGTCTCAGTCTCAGTAAGGAAATGTGATCTGCTCAAGAAATCTTTCAATACAAATATCAACAAAAGTCTACTCCAAGGAAATGAAAACTAGTCTAACACGAAGAACTATGCACCACTTCGAAAACAGCCTCCAAGGAGACTACATTTTGTCATAAAATGCATAAACTTCAGGATGAACTGTGAGGAGAATGCCAATGACCTGGAAATAATCATGGCGATTCTGCTTGGTGAGCACCTGCTGCATGCTAGATATGGGAATGGGTGCTCCTGAGCCATTATCCCAACTAATCCCCACTGCAACCCCTCAAGTATGAATCACCATCTCTGTTTTTAAAATGTTAGTGGGGGGATGCCTAGGTGGCTCAGCAGTTGAGCCTCTGCCTTGGGCTCAGGGTATGACCCCAGGGTCCTGGGATCGAGTCCCATATCCGGCTCCCTGCTTTGAGCCTGCTTCTCCCTCTGCCTGTGTCTCTGCCTCTCTCTCTCTGTGTTTCTCATGAATGAATAAATAAGTAAAATCTTGGGATCCCTGGGTGGCGCAGCGGTTTGGCGCCTGCCTTTGGCCCGGGGCGCGATCCTGGAGACTCGGGATCGAGTCCCACGTCAGGCTCCCTGCGTGGGGCCTGCTTCTCCCTCTGCCTGTGTCTCTGCCTCTCTGTCTCTCTCTGTGTGACTATCATGAATAAATAAATAAAATCTTTAAAAAAAATAAATAAGTAAAATCTTTAAAAAAAATGTTAGTGGGGCTGAGAGAGGTTAAATAACTTACCACCAACACAGATCTAGTAAATGGCTGATGGGAGAGGTTGGGCTTGTGACCCTGGAGGCATCTTTCCACTCTGGAAGTCCATGGTTTGAGGAAGAAGAGGAAGTGGGGAAGGAGGAAAAGGAGAAAAGGAGGGAGGAGAGAATAAGGGAGATGGAGGAGGGAAGCATCTAAAAGCTCTAGAGAAGGATGGGAAGGACAGGTGTATCTGAGGGAGACGGGAGCAGCCCCTTGCCTCCTGCCTCCTTCTCGAGACAAGGCCGTGTCAGCACCACGGACAGCTGCCGGCCACGCGGGGTCAGTGGGCTGGGAGCCCTGTGTGGCTGGGTCACTTGGAACTGGGTGGGTCATTTGGATGAGCATGTGGTGGTGGAGGAGGTGGAAGAGGAGGAGCGTTTGCTAATTACTCTCCCCCCTCCCCCCAGATATCCTGGATACATAGAGAGGGAAAGACACTTGCCAAAGTCCTTCAAGAGCTGGCCATATGGGATCTGTGCCAAAAGGAAAGAAAGGGAAATGGGTACCCAAAAGACTTAAGGTTGCCTTGCAGGACGTAGAGTAAGACAAGGGATTTGAAGAGAGGAGACCTGGGTTCCAGTACGAACACACCGACTTGCTCTGTGGTCTTTAGTCAGTCACTTAACCTCTCTGAGCTCCATGTTCCTGTTCTGCAAAATGTTAATATTTTATAAAGGAAAAACCTTATCCCTCTCCTAATATTGTCGTAGGAAGGGAAATGTGTTTTTCAAGCTATGAAATTCTAAGCAAATGCTCCGTGTAGCTGTCACTATTTTCCTTCTCATTAACCATCTGTAGTGCACTGTATACTCACCCAGCCCTGAGCAGAACTGAAAAAACTCAGCTGGAGGATTCCAGTGCTCCCAGCCAAAGCTTCGGCAGTAGCTGTGGAAACTGTAGCCCCTCGTGGCCACTACCCATGGGCCCCAAGTCCCCAAATCTGGTCGGAATTTGCTGAGGCTGAAGAAGGGGTATTTGTATTTTCCCCCTACCCCAAGCTCTGTGTGGGCAGCCAGCAGATGAGCTGCAATTGGGGGTAATGGACAGCCACCCGTCCCTGTTCCTGTCTCCATGTTACAAACATGCTTCATCAGCTTCTTCTCTGGGCATTGTGCCCTTCCAGCCTCCCCCTGTTCCCTTTGTGTGGCCAACAAGCCATTTCTGTCACCCGCCTGCTTTGGCCCTGACACGGGTCTGCAACTCCCCTTTGCTTTTCATTAACACCTCCTTGAGCTACCTCCTCCCCTCCCCGCCACCTCTTGGCTTGGCCCGTCTCCCCCACCCCCACCACAGACATCACCACAGCAACCGGTTCCAACCAGGTTCCAATGAGCATCCAGCTACTTCAATCTGCAAAGAGGCACCTGCCAATAGTCCCTGCCTATCCAGGAGGGCTTCCCTACCCTCTTATTCTTTCTGCAGTGTGTCCTGTCCCCCTGTCTGCTGCACAGATGGGCCCCAGGGCCACTGACTCATCATGTCCTTTCCTATAGTCACCCCAAATGTGCAGAGCTCAAGGTGGGATCCCAGCCCAGGGATCACTCACCACAACCCCTAACTTCCTGTCAGCCACATAGATGCATGCATACGCGCACACATACACACTATACACACGCGTATTGCCAGGCACACAACACATTGTGACTGCACGTACGTATATATGTGACACACAGACACACACATTCATGTGCATGAAGTCCTAGATAATTTTTCCTCCTCTTCCACATATTCTTTTTTTTTTTTTTTAAGATTTTATTTGTTTGACCAAGAGAGAGTGAGAGCACATGCAAGGGATGCAGCAGAGGGAGAGGGAGAAGCAGGCTCCTCCCTGAGCAGGGAGCCTGACTCAGGGCTCCATCCCAGGACCCTGGGCTCATGACTGGGCCAAAGGCAGACACCTAACCGACTGAGCCAGCCACCCAGGCGCTCCCCTCCTCTTCCACGTATTCTTAATTCACCTCCACAGCCCCACTTATCCCTTTATAGGCAGAAAAATATCCTCTGGCTTGACCCACATCTAGCTCCTTCCCCTTTTACTGGTGTGCCTCCTGTGCTTTGTTCCTTTCCTCCTCCCTGGTCTGTAGCAGCTGCTCTCTGTTCTTTGTGAGGCAGACAGGAGCTCTAAGTCCTAGTGAGATTTCAAGAGCAGAAGGAAAGCTGGTCCTCTGAGGGGAGCCTGTAGGAAGAAGTACCACCTCAGGGCTTCTTGCTGATGAAGCCTGATGCCAGTGCCCACAGCTTCCTGGCATCTGCCAGTCTCTACTCCTGTGTGCCCAGCCTGAGCTCTCGCCCAACAGCAGAAACCATGAGTGCACACACATACACAGGCACCTGGAGATTTTGGTATGAGCCCCACCTTGAAAAACTTAAATTACCTACAGTGTTAGAATTTGCTAAAAGGCAGGACTGGAAATGATTCTGGGGGTGGGGTGGGGGAGCAAGAACTATCAGGCAGTTTCTAGAAGAGTGCACCTTGTCCTCAGGAAGCACGGGAACACTGCTCTCTGTGACAGTGGGCAGTGCCAGGGAGACAGGGCAGGATGAGGAGCCATTCTGGGGAAGCAGCTCGAACACTGGAACTGCAGTAAGAGCACATGTGCTGATCCCAGGCTTTCCATTTACTGGCTGCCTGAGCTTGAGCCAATAATTGATGTTCCCTGAACCTCAGCGTTCCCACCTAAGCAATGGGAACAGCATCACTTCTCCCAGGAGGTGTGACTCCAGCGAGCCACGTGTGGGGATGTGCCAGGAAGCTGTAATGCGCTGGTTCAGTGGGAGACGGTAGTAATAACAACCATGAAGATGATAACAGTGGCCATAAAAAGATAAGCTTTCATTGTCTGGAAAATTCATTTATGTGGAACAACTCATTTTTCGAGCAGACTGAGGAGATGAGGCATGACAGTATTATGTGTTTTTTTTTTCCTTTAAAGTGCTTTTAACTGAGCCCAAAGAGGTGTTCAGGTGGCTTCCAGCTGAGTTGAGAGGGAGGCTGCCTCTGCCCCGCACCCCTCCCGTGCACACCAGCGTGTCAGCCCCCACCCCTGCCCTGCCTCACCTTCTTGCCCCGCGTCCTCAGCTTGCAGCTCCACTTTGACCGTGTCCCCCCAGATAGGGGCTGTGGTGGGCTCTGAGGTCACAGATGTGACTGCCTTAGCATTCTGGTTCTTCGTGTCCTCCGATGTGGTTTTCCTGGGGAGGGGAGGAAGAGGCTGAGTCAGAGGAAGGATGTCCTGCCTCCCGCTCACTCCTCCTGGACTGTCCATAAATCTGAGCAAAGCGTGGACAAAGAATGAAGAGCTCCCTCCGAGGCAGACACACTCCAGTCATCCCAGGCCCAGGGGACACTCGGACTCTCTCTTCAGCTCCCCTGACTGCCCGGGTGACCACACTGTCTTGCTGACCACTGCTGAGGCCTTCCTGTGGACTCGGGCACCAGAGGCCAAGGGTGGGGATGGGAGAGGGGATAGATGCCTTGCCTGTCTGACTTCCTGCCCCCTGCCTGGCCGGGCTCCCCAGCAGGCGCCTGTGTGCATAGACTCCCCATCCTGCCTCTCTCCTTTAGATCCTGTTCAGCAGGAGGAAGTCCCTGGGCAGGGCGGCTGTGGTGCCCGCCTGGCTGGCTTCTTCTTTGACCTTCGCGTCTCTAACCTGCTGGCCCAGGTTCCCCAGTCTCGGCCCAGCTTCCCAGGCTCTGAGCGTCTTCAATGGAGCACACACATGCTCCTGCCTTCTGCAGCCCTCCCTGCACCTGGGGCCCTGGGCTGGACACTGGCGTGGGACAGGCCATGAAGAGTCGTGTAGGGCCAGGCCGTGCAAGGTGAGGCGGGAGCTTGGGCCCTCTGCAACCCAATGCACGCCACAGGGTATCTGAATTAAATGTCCCTGGGCTCCTGGGCCATCAAACAGTTCAGCGAGTTAATACTTCTTCTGTTGAGGAGGTTATTACGTGGGGCTGTAAATGGCACTGCTACATTAACTGCAGGGATCATCCCAGAGCCTGGAGCAGGGGAGCCACACCACGGACCTGGGAGGGGGAGGTGCCATGCACCGGTGGTTTCCTAGGCGGGGAGGCAGGAAGCACAGAGGGTGTCCTCACCAGCCTCGGACCCACCCCTGGAGGCCCCCAAGGGGAGTGTGGGGCGGGGGAGTTGGCCCATGAGCTCAGAGCCAATGTGCCCCACGTGGGAGCTAAACCTGCCTGTGGCCTTCGCAGCCCAGCCTGTCCTCCAGGAAGGCTTCTGGCTCCCCCCACCCCCAGGTCCTCACTGCTTCCTCCGACCTCTGGACCTGAGGGACCTAGCAGCCTGGATCTTTGCTCCCCGCTCGCCTACTGGATGCCTGCGGGCAACCGTTCTCGCCAGTCCTGTCTCCAAACTCCCTCTGCTTCAGCTGAGGGCCAGTGTGGCCTGGTGATGACAACAGGGTCCCTGGAGTTCCAAAATCCCAGCTCTGCCCCTTAGTGGCTGTGTGACTTTGGCAAGGTCTTGCTGTGCTTTGCTTCCCTCATCTGTGAAAATGGGGCTGGTAACGCAGGGCCATTGTGGGCAGGGAATGCATTCGTATGTGTAAGTGCATGGCCATGTTAATAGTAATGATCATCATCACTTTAATTGCTTTTGGCCTGGTGTCCCCCCATCTTGACCCCCAGTCTGGATCTACCACTGGGGGGGGGTCTCTGGCTGCTGTGACCATGGTATGGAGTCCCTGAGAGAGCACCGGCATCAGGGACCCACACAACTGGTCTGAGCCCACAGTTGCCTTTTGACCGGGCCACCTGCCCTCTCTGGGCCTCAGTGTCCTGCTCTGTCAGGGCACCCTCCCTCCCAGGGTGGTTACACGGACCAGGAAGAAAGGCCCCAGTTCATGTTATTCCCTCATTTGTGACACAAGATGGATGTTTCTCAGAGGTCACTGACCCAGAGCAGCCTGGCAGGGGCTGGGAGCCCTGCAGGAGGGCTAAGACGAGGAGCACGCATCTCCCAGACACCAGGCCTCCCCACACCTGCAGAGGGGCTGTGTGGGAGCCTGCCAGGCTGGAGAGGAGAAGGCATCAAGGCTGGGAGGCACTGGAGCTCCCTTCCTTCCGACTTGGTGACCTCTGCTCCTTCTGGGGAGCAATCTGAGCCCTCCTCCCGCCACCCTGTGCCTTACATTCTGTGTAAGGACGAAATCAACCCTCTGCACTGCAAACATCCAACCTGCTCCTGCATGAGCACCTGGTGTGTGTGTCCCTGGGAGCTTGCCAGTGGCCAGAGCAGACAGACACAGCGGTGAGCAGGGGACTCGAGTCACTAGCAGTGCAGTGACAGCAGGTCAGGTTGGAAGCCAGGACCTGTACTTGCCAGCCTGTCTTCCACCATCCCGAGGTTCTCAGCCTCTTGTTCCCTCCCCTTCTCTCACAAGCTCCTGGGCTTCTGGCAGGAAGGCTTCCAAGTAGCAAGAGATGCGGGTTGGCAACAGACAAGGCCAAGGGAGACGGCTGGTGCTGACTCTGCTCAGGCCTAGGAGGGGGAAAGGGAGCATCTCTTTCCTCCCTTCCCCCAAGACACACATCAAAGAGGTTTGCAGGGGCTAGGTGAGTGGGGGCCAAATAACTTAGGAGGGGTGAGGCCCCAGGGGAAGGAGGGAGGCTTTTAGCAGGTGGAGGGAGGCCGTCAGGGTAACGGCTTCTCCTGGCACAGCTGACTCCTGTAGGCCTTGATGCTATTCTAGAAACTGGAGATCTCGAGGGGTGAAGGGGGCCGGCTCACCCCTTGCTCCTAGTCCCCAATCTGTACCCTGAGCTGGGTATGTGGGAGGCTGGGTTCTAGGACACCCAGCCCCTGATGGGGCTCAGGTCTCCCAGGGCAGTTTCTGAGCCCAGGGGCCCCTTCAGGACCTGTACCCACGTGGCCCAGCTGCAAGAGCAGGATCCTGCCTCCCATCCCTAATGCCCTGGCCTGGCTGTAGCATGCAGGCCCTGGGGGAGCTGCCTGGTGCTGTCTGCTGTCCTGGGGCTCAGACTTAATCCAGCCATGGGGGGCGGGCAGTCACACCAGGATGGAACTGGAGTTGGGTTCAGAGGCACAGTTGAGCAATCCTGGTCCCTAGGCTGTGGGGCAGGAGGGGCGGGGGGAAGGACCCTCTCTCTACCAGGCCCATCCCCCAGCACACTCCTCCCAGTCAGGAGGCTCTGGGGCTCCCACCCAAGCAAGAGGATGGGATTGAGGCCCAAGCACATCTGGGAGCAGGAAGGAAGAAGATGGATTTTGCTTTCCTTCTTGGGGCTGTAATTAAGGGAGGTGCATGGTCTGGTCCCCAGGGGCTGCAGTGGGGAAGCACGGGCACTGATGGGGAGAGTGCAAGCTCCCCAGCCACTCCCCATACCCATCCTCTGGAAGGCCCACTAGAGCACACCCTCGAGGGGTGGGACCTGTGTGTGTCATTGCCCTGCCTTCGGGAAGTTTCCCCTGATCAGTGCCTCCACCTCCTCCGGTTCCCCTCCACCAGCATAAGCAGGTGTGTGCTTGCATGGAGACTTGCTTACACAGACACACAGGCTTCCCCTGGGAGGTCTGGGTGCCACATGATACCCGTCTCCACCCACGGTGTGCCAGCCCTCAAGCTGCCTCCTAGGTCTCTAAGCCCCCCCACCCCTGCACTTGGCCTCCCTGTCTGCTTGGTCTCCCACACTCCCCAAAGTATGGAGCATGAACAGCTGTCAAGGTCTGGCCGCCTGCAGGGCAAGGCTTTGGAAGCCCAGGATGTGGACCCCCTGGCTTGTCCTGAGGGTTGATCCCAGGGCAGCCCCTAGGAGAGCAAGGGGAAGGGGAGGACCCCAACGGGGGTCTGTTCTGGCTGCTGGGGTCCTAACTAGGCAGGACTCTGAATCCTGAAAGACCAGAGGGATGTTCCCAGGAGCCTCGAGGAAGGAGGTAGGCAGGCAGAACCAGGATGGACAAAGGTTGGAAGCTTTAGGTGGATGGATGGTAGAAGAAGATGTCTTGCCATCTTTTGACCTGATCCTTCACAGTCCTACTGCTTGCTCACCTGAGAAACTTAGAGAAGGTGAGGAAACTGGTTCAGACTGAGAGTCCTCCAGGCCAGGTGCCAGGTATGTCATGATTGGGCCCCATTCTGTCCTGAGACGTCAGGGCAATTCCCCTCTACCTGTACCCTCTCCGCTGGCCTCTGCACCGGCAAGGCCAGCCTCCCCATCCCCCAGAAGCCTAAGAGGCAGTCAGACTCCCAGGCACAGACCTACTTCCATCCGTGGAAGGCACAGAAAAACCCAATGACCTGTCTCCTGCCCGGCCTCACGCAACAGGGGTAGGAAGGGAGACTCGGCCCCTGCAGAGATGGTCACCTGAACGGGGTGGTCAAAGGCTGGATTCTTGGGTTTGTGACCCTGCCGGGGCTGGACTAGGGAGGAAAGGCTTCTTGGAGGATGCAGGGCATGTAGAGATGGAGAGGAGGACCTTTCCAATTGGAGGATGGGGCCTGAGGCTGAGAGAGGCCTGAGCAGTCTCAGGGGCAGGTGCGGGGAGGGCATGGCTGGCTCATCCAGGGTCCGTGTGCTGGGAGTGGAGCATGGGCTGGGGGAGTCAGAGGAGTGAGGCTTGTGGTCCTCCCTGACCTCGCTCCTTCTCCAGCCCTCTTCTCTCCATACTCATGTCATTGTCCTCCGAGGCCAGCAGGAAGGAGGGCAAAACCCTGCCCTCCTCTGGCCTTGGCCCAGCTCCCCTGGGATTGCCGGGCCAGAAGATGCGGCCAGGGCTCCACAAAGAGGAGCGAGGATTCCAGGCAGGGATGTCCGCCTTGCACTTGGCCCTCGAGGTCATCATTGGCGCCCGCCTGGTGGGTGCCCCTCCCCCAGCCCCCAGGGCAGCTGGTTCTTGTGGGCTCTGAGTTCTTGGGAGGCTGCCACTTTAGGCAAGAGCAGGGCTGGTATCCTTAGCAAAGCAATGGCTCTCATCCTGGGTTTCATTTATTAATTGGACTCTAATGAACCATCACTAATTGCTGATGGTGCTACACCACTACAGGTGGGCCCCGATTGAGGGAAGAGCTGACTCTGGAGCCCTGGAGGCCAGCCAGCTCCCCTTCCACGTGGGCACGGCTGCTCCCCTCTGCCCATCCTGCAGCCAGTGGGGTCTGCTCTGGAGATCAGAACGAGGCATTCCCAGGGACTCTGAGATGAGCACCCCGGC